CAATCTGTTAATGAAAAGAGTCCTTCCTGATTCAAAAGTTCTATAGCTACTGCTGCTCACCGCAGGTCTCAAGAACTCCATTGTATTAGTCTGTAACTGCATACTAAACATCGAGTGGCACTTTATCTTATCTTATCTATATCTTATCTATATTTAACTTCATCTTTAGACAGCAAATGGAACTGTTACCAAGTTATAGCACAAATTCCAGTAACGCTTCTCTATTTCTCTTGGATCACTTAAAACATTTGGTGATTGAATTTCAGGCTCTCCAGGTGAAAACAGTCTGAGAAAATCCAGGCCTTCATTTTGAGGATATGCCTGAGCAATGTCCTGAGTTTCTCTGGGAGTTATGGGAACTGGTCTGTTTTCCCACAAGCTTTTCAAAATCACTCATAAACCACTGCTTAAGGGTGCTATGCTGGGAACTATGAGATAGGCCCAATTGCAATGGCTGATTAACATGCTCTGCATGGATAAGAGCAGAACATCACCCAGAAGATGACAGCTATCATAGACACATTTCACCTTGGCAGTTTATACTGGTGCAGTCCCACAGGTTCAATTACCAGTGGCCTAACCCTTTACTGCATGCACAACTTTCAGATGAGGAAGCAAGGTGCTTAGAAAATGAACTGACCTGTGAACAATGTGTCACTTAAAAGCCATTATGCTGTAATCTGAGAATGCCAGCAGTGCCAGAATTTAGTCTGGTGCACAAGCATTAGAGTATGGAACAGACTGACTGCTTCTAAAAAAAAATTAACCCCAAACAGGTGTGCATGCCTGGATTTACACGCATTACCCAACTGTCAGTGAGGATAATGTGCTTGTGAGATTTTTCAGTCCCTCAGGCCTGCTTCCAAAGTCTCAGAAACTTCAACTATGAAAGTAACATAGAACAGAGAAAGATATAGGCCCAGTTAAGATAGGCTTCAAAAGGGCAATTGTTAAGAACCAGGCAGACTCACCCATGTCCAGAGACACTTAAAGCAAGGGAATACATTCACCTGATTTAGAAAAGCAACGATTTTTTTGTCATATAACAAAAAAACTGGGAATAGGGGTATGGGGACTAGCTATGATAAAAATCCAAAGCTTGTCTAGTTCCCATTGTAAATAAGAATACGTCCCAGCTTGAGAATTGAGCAAATGATGAATTCTGCCCTGAAGGAAAGAAGCAGGATTGCCTGTAGGTAAAAGCTCACTTTGCCTGCTAGTATCAAAAACTTGGTGGTGAGGAGGCTGCAGCAGGACAAATTGTCTGAAACAGCTGTTGCCTCCTACATTACTGCAAATCAGCACCAAGGGTGGAGGGACATCAAATATATGCATCTCTGTCATTCTTATGAGGCTTTTCTCACTTCCTCTTTGTAAAATTTTACCCTCGTGATTCTTTGGAGATGAGGGATGGCAGAAATTAAGATTCCCTGCTTCTGTCATGCAAAATCAAAAACTGAGGGTGGAGTGAAGGAGCTCAGATTTCACTTCCTGGAAGATACTTTTATTCCACCACCTCCGCAATTCCATTAAGTGGAATCATTAACACAAGGCTTCTAGAACTTTCCTCCAGGATGACAGAAAATGTCTCTAACAGTAGGGCCAAAGTGTGGTATACACTACAATTGGACAGTTGTGGAAAATTGTGAGAGTCCGTTCCTCAAATTTGCTGACATTCAGTTATACACAAGGTTAATGCAAATTCTATCAATCACCACAGAAATAGGCACAGAACCAAACAGTTTGCGAATTCAACTTGAAAACTAGCTCTACAAATAATTACATAAAAAGTCTATGCATTAGTTCTCAGCGTTAGAGAAGTTTTAAACAATGCTTTTGAGCCCTGGCTTCCCAAAATAGTCCCGCAAGTTACATCTTTATGGCTTTATGACAGATGCAGTTTGGCATTTCAAACTTCTTAAAAAAAAAAAATCACTTCTGGCCTGAAACATTTCAGGCAAAAAGGAATTTCTCACCCTTCATTTTTAAAATATTTACCACTCAGTCTACCAATATCCCAAGCATAAATAACCAGGATTTACTCTTTTCATTACAAAGTGAAAATACAGTTATTCCCCAATGGCATCAGGAAGCGGAGGCTTGATAACAAACAGCAAAATGACATGAGGGCACAAAGTCTTGTTCCTTTGAAATCTCCATCTGACTATTTCAAAGGAAACTGAGCAGAGGAGTGACCCATATTTGCTCACTGGAAATACATTTGAGTCCTCAAGCAGGCAAAAGAACAATTCCATTTTGTGAAAACTTTTGAGGTTTTGAAATGTGTTTTTATTACACACACACACACTACACACAAACCACCTTTCAAACATTTCCATGAAATGAAGTTGTCTCTAGACGGCTGTTTTCACATCTCTAGTTCTTTCTCTGGTCAGAAATGACCAGAGAGTCTACCCTGGACCCCAGAAACCTTCCCAGCTTTGTCAAAAGAGCATATTTTGAAAAAATACATTTTGTCAAAAATGTTTTAAATGTGGCCACTTTTAAAGCACATTTAAAAACATTTTTGTCCAGATCTGCCTCTAACAGTAGGCTCTGGAATCAGCTGGCACCAATCTCCTCTGGCTAGTTAGAGCTTATATGAAGCATATATTGTTTGTGAGATATGTTCTTTAATCCAATCCATACAAAGTATACTAGAAAATATGATGATGGACACCTCTTACTGCCCAATATATCTGTCCAACACTCCAAAACTGCACACACTTTCCTTGGAGTCCAGATTTATGACAACAAATGAATAATGCAGGCTCTGTCTGAGCTAAATCACATTTTTGAACAATTGGATCCACTTCACATTGGCTAGATGGGAAATGCTGTACGGCCTATGTAAACAAGATTTAACTTAGTTTTGCAAAAAAGTCTCAATCTACGCAAGGTAGGGAAAACATTAGTACCTTCCTAACTAAAACTATGTTTGAATAGTCTTCACTAAGTCACTAACAGTTTCAAATCTGAGTGTGGGCAGAGACTAAAGATGAGTGGGGAAAGTTCACACATCATTTAACATCCATTAAGACCCGCTCCTACTCTATTCTATATAGGTTTTTATATCACACATTACTGTAGTATTTGAGTGCCTAACCTTAGGCATAAATGCGTTAAAGTATCCAGATACATGCTGAAGCAATCACCTGGGGAACTCTCTCTATGAAAATTTAACTCATTTGCTATTATTTTGCATTGTGTCCTTCATTCTCAACTTTGACTGGTTAAGAGCTATGGTTTTAATTTCAATATGTTACAGATGTTTTCAGTTTTCTTACGTGATCTTTTCAGCACTGTATTAGGCATGTTGTAATGCTTGTTTGTGGCAAAGGAGAGGAGGGCAAACAGATGAGAACGTTAAAAAGTCTTGTTCAAAGGGGAAGCAGGAGTAGGTAGGGTCTTATATTCCTTGGAATCCAGAAGATCCTGCCCCAAAGTCTACATATCACAATAGTTACCCCTCCAGAAATAAAGAGCTTGACATGGTGCCCATCAAAGTCGGTCAATTCTGCTCCAAAGTCTGACAGACAAGTCGTTAAGTGACAAAAGACATTCCCTCCAAGTCACTCCTCACCCAGGTGTTCAAATGACAGCATGCTTCCTTATGTTTAGGCCAATGGTTGGGTTCTGCTTAACAAAAATAAAATAAAATAAACCAAAACACCTTACTCTACCAGAAACCACTGGAAGTAAAACAAACCCACAGGATTATCACAGAATTTGCTGTTATCTGTTAGATGTTACCCTATAATAGTTCACCTTAAAGTATTACTTTGGTTACAGTGTGATTGGTAAAACCCATTGTTTCATGTTCTCTATGTATATAAATCTCCCCACTGTATTTTCCACTGAATGCATCCGATGAAGTGAGCTGTAGCTCACCAAAGCTTATGCTCAAATAAATTTGTTAGTCTCTAAGGTGCCACAAGTACTCCTTTTCTTTTTGCAAATACAGACTAACACGGCTGCTACTCTGAAACCTATAAGCCAACCGTAATGGTTATGAAGCCGTTCACTTTCGTTTGATCAGAGGAAAAGTCTCTCTCTCTCTTTTCTTCCTATCAGTGATCACCATTTTTTTCCAGGGGAGGGTAATGAAACAGGACTCTCCTTTTGGGTCCTATCAATGCAGTACTTAACTTGTCAGGAGGGAGCACTATTTTATGTCACATGGTGTTCTTGCCCCTAAGGACAAGTGTGCTACTTCTGTACCATGATCAGAATCTGCCAGCACATAAAGAAAAAAAGACAGGCTTCAAATTAGTGTCCCCAATTGCAGCTGAGCACACCAAATCTTTCTTTGTCCAGTTAGATCTCAGTTGCATTCAAAATAATATGCAGTCCGCAGGTCTCCTAAAACTCAACAGGCAGTTAAAGGTTTTTAGTGTTTCTACTGTAAAATTCATCCTCAAAAAGCAGGTTTAAAAGTTCAAGTTAAAATCTGGCATATAAAATCTCCAAGTTTTTATATATATATATACACACACACACACATATATATATCTGAAGACTACAGACAATGAATTTGTTTATAGTTATATAAGAAAAACACAGAAGTTTACTGACATAAGATTTAGTTCAGGTTTTAACTAAAGTAGAGATTTAAAAATCCCCAAGACAGTGAGATGTAAAAATGAACTACTGAATCTGCACCAAAATCTATTTTAACTTAAGTTCAGTAATTTTTAGCAGGACTCATCACATACAAACATCAATCTGACATAACAGATCAGAACTGCCTCAAAAGATGCATGGGACTGGACTAGATGACCTCTTGCAGTCCCTTGCTGTCCTACAATTCTCTGAGGCCCACAAATATGGTTCACATCACTGAATGGACTTCCAAATACAGTTTACTCATGCCAAACAAGCCAGCTAACATGGTGAGGTGAAAGTGGGTGTAGTAAAATCTAATTTAAAAAGACTAGACTGGTTCAATCTAAATATTAAATCAGCAAAAAACCTGAAAGTAGTTTGACTGAGATCATTACCTGTAATTTTGTACCCATAAGAAGCCAACTGTCCAGCCATGTATTCTCCATCTGAATTATTATGAGAACATCCCCATGTGCGTATCCAAATTTTTTGCGCACCGGGAATAATGCTGTTGAGTGAACAGAATCAGGAAAGCAAATTAGAGATAAAAACAAAATAAAACATGAAGTCATTTCAGGCACTCAGGAACAAAAGGTTTTGGTCCCTATACATTGGAATGTTAAATGACTCACACATGTAAACCCTCCACCCAGCCTCAATGAGGTGGAGAGGGAAGAAAAGATTCAGTATTTTAATGGGGGGCGGGGAAGGTAAGAAAGAAATGATAGCTTCAAAATAGAGAGGGTATATGGAAAGAGAAGACTATATTCTGTGGCTACATGGAATCAAAAACCTAAAAACCAAACCCGATTTTTTTTTCTTAGATAGAGATTTCAATGTTCATACACAATACGAGACTGGCAGCACTAAAAATAAGTCATCTATCCATGAAATAGGTACAGCTAAATTGCAAGCTTCTCATGCTGCCTCACCTATGTGCCTTCAACTCACTCCACACAGGCTACCTATCAGACATCACTACTAATCCAGAGCCGCTACTGACCAGTGAGGTAGGGATGAAAAGCTCTGTACCCCAACCTTTCTGAGCTACAAATGTATTATTAAAAAGAAAAAAAATTAATTAAAGAATTAAAAAGCTGCTACTTTGAAAAAAGTATTATTGTGGCAGATTTGTACCACTGTAGTAGAGGGCATGCCAGCTTATTTGAAGATTTATAATTGGGCTAAAAAAGGTTGCTCCAGAATAAAGCCTCTGCAGAGGTACAGCCATGATACAAAAGAGCCCACTAGAAGAACAGAACAGAAATCTCAAGGCTTGGCTTACACTACCAATTTACGTCTGTATAACTACAGTACACCCTGAGAGTTACGAACTGCCCGGTCAACCACACACCCGATTTGGAACCGGAAGTATGCAATCAGGCAGAAGAGAAAAAAAAATAAAAAAAGCAAACAGTACAGTACTGTGTTAAACGTAAACTACTAAAAAAAATAAAGGGAAAGTTTAAAAAGAGATTTTATAAGGTAAGGAAACTCTTTCTGTGCTTTTTTCATTTAAATTAAGATCCTTAATTGCAGCATTTTTCTTCCGTATAGTAAAGTTTCAGAGCTGTATTAAGTCAATGTTCAGTTGTAAATTTTTGAAAGAACCACAACGTTTTGTTCAGAGTTACAAACAACCTCCATTCCCAAGGTGTTTGTAACTCTGAAGCTCTATGTACATTGCTCAGGAAGGTGGGCTTCTCCCGTCAACGTAGTTAACACCTCTTGGGGAGGTGGAGTACCGACACTGATGGGAGAAGGCTAGGTAGTGTCTTCAAAAAGGCTCTGCAGCTGCGCCACTGCAGCACTGTAAGTGCAGACAAGCCCTAAGAAACACTGAGGAGTCAAGAATGGCCAATGGATAAGAATCATGCCCGTTTGCAGAAAATTAGTAGGGTCTTGTCTATACTACAAAGTTTTGTCAGAAAAAGTTATGCCGCTTCAATTAAAACCGCTGTTGCGTGTCCACACTATTCTCCTTGTGTCAGCAGAGTGCATCCATACGAGCAGCTCTTGCATCGATTCAGAGAGCAGTGCACAGTGGTAGCTTTCCCACTGTGCAACTAGCTGCAGGATGCTTTGGGAAGGATTTGCAATGCCTCATGGGGCAGGTGCAGTGTCACATGATGCAGGTTTCTCAATCCCATCATTCCATGGGCTTCCTAGTAGATTGTCAACTTTTCAACTGAAGTGTGGGGAGGGAGGAAGAAGAGAGTTGTGTGTGTGGAGGGAAAGGGAGACAGCAGGCTGACCAACTTATCCTGAGGCAGGGGGAGGGGAACACCCCACACACACATCAGCCCCTGACTCTGCTCCGCACAGCAGTCTCTCCCTACACTCCTGGCAGAAGCAGCCCGCTCTGCCTGCCTATGGTTCTGTGATTCTCTCCGAGTTCTCCCACAGCCTCCTCAGCTGCCGGGAGCAGCATTCTGAGCAGCTCTGTGAGCTCTCCATGTTGAGGAATGTCAAAGCAGCACAGCAATCTGCCCCCACACTCCCGACAGCAAAAGTCTGCCTGCCCATGCTTTCCTAGTGCCCGGGAGAACAGGAGCATTTCAAGTTAATGATTTGCTCTTTGTTCCCAGAACAGAGCAGCATGCTCAGCTGTCAGATATTTCCAGGCGCTTTGAAAGGGGAGGGGCACACGCCTGCAGGGCAGCAGAGATCAAACAGTGAGCAGAGCGGTCAGGGCAGGCATTGTGGGATACTGGTGGAAATCAGTTATGTCAACAAAACAAACAGCAGTATGTACACTGACGCCTTGTAGCTTTAACTTTTCCGCAAAATGCTTTATGCCTCTCGTCCAGGTGGTTTTATTTTGTCAGGAAAACAGCAGAGTTTTTGGCCAAAAGTAGCTCTGAAGTGTGCATACCTTAACTGTTTTGTAGGAAAAAGGCAGGTTTTCCTGACAAAACTCTGTAGTGTAGTCACGGCCTAGCATAAAAGCAAACACACATGTGTAGTCCTTAAACCTCCGTGGCTAAATCCCAGACATAAAGCTCCAAAAAGGTCATCCTTTGTAGGGACGTAAATTACCAGAGTAAAAAACACCGAAAACCACACAGTAATGGTGAGTGGCCAACAGAGAGAACTACTAAATATGGATAGCTGCAGATCCTTGATACAGCAACAAATAATACGTTCTTGATATGATGGAATCAATGTGTCTACTGTCTTTGAATGGGGCTAACTCTACAGACTTTATGATTAAAAAAATGCTCTTATGCGTCTGAAATTCAGCAGATCTCTAGTAGACTGTAAAGCATAAAGCAAAAATGATGTTTCCTGTAAATTCCAGGATTAAAAGATTAAAGACTGGTAATGGATTATTTTCTTGTTTCCTTAGTGCATTTGATAGCACTTTGCATATGTTCATTTTTTATTGTTTATGTGGGCTTCACAGGTAGCAACAGGGAAAAGAAAAACAAAATAAGAAAATGATGTACAATCACAAAAATTGGCAGTGGGACTAGAGGGCAGAATATCTAATTTCTAATATCTTGAAGTCTTTTTAGCGCTTTCTAAAAACTTACGTTCAATTTCAAAATTACTTTGAAGGGATACTTTAATGCAAAGACCTACTTCTACCCCCTCTTTTTATTCTTGAAAGAAGAAGCATAGATGCATCAGCTTTCCTGTTACAACCAACATTTTTTCTACAGAATATCAGTTTTATGTTATCTGACGCTGATACTCTTCCATGCCATTTAACAGTCAGTTATTTCCATTACTGAATAGGTAATCTGAAAGACTTAACAGTAAACTGTCACCACTTTTAACATTTTAAATTCTACTTCCCCACCCCTAAACCCCAAAAAAACACTAGAATCCAAGAGCGAGATTTTCAAGAGCTCAGCTCCCATTTACACACCCTAAATGAAAAGTCCAAATTGTCAGAACTTCTCAGTATCCAGTAACTATCTCTGAAAATAATACAAGGTGCTGGCCAATATTGTATATCTGGTCACTTCATTCAGGCATTTCCGTGGGAGCTGCTGAGCTTTTTAGCAATTAGGTCACAATAGGGAGTACCGAGTATTTTTGAAACTCTGGCCCCAAATTATCAGCATGCTTAATAAAAGCAGCAACGTTTTTATTACAACCAAATCTGAAGACAACTTAAAAGCTATGTGGCAATGCCACATTACATTTTTATTTTAAAAAACTGGAAGTGTGTACATACTAGGGCTTTTTTGAAAAAAAGAACTTACCTATCGCTTGGTGGATCATCATCTGCCTGAACATTTTTTTGTGAACTGCGTTTTCGCACTTTAGGAACAACATTTTTTCGTGCAAACTGTCGGTCATGTGGTTTCACATCTTGTGCTGACACAATATCCTCAATATCTTCAAGCAGTGAATCACAAGCAGCAGGCATCTTCAAGAACAGAAATATTTAAATTCAAAATCAGATTCTATTGTCAGATATTAGTGTTGATCGTGTGCACTCTTTGGAGAAAAGTCTGCTAACTTTTCTAGATACACATGCAATAGAGAAAGATATACATGACCTCACAGTGCACCTAATAATCCTCTATTGTGTAAGACCCTATACAAGCTATTGACCTGATCCTGCAAACTCTTCCTGAATGAAATAATTCCAATTAAATCAAAGGAACTATTCTCAGGTGAGACAGAATTTGAAGAATGGGACTAAGTTAACAATAAGATCCACTTGACATCTGAAAGTAGAATCAGGATCATGTATTTGTATTAGGAAAATAACCTATTATAAACTAAATGAAACTTAGTTATTTCGGACAGCAGAAAGAGTAGATGATGACTTTTACATTTTTCTTCTTCCACATATATCTAAGTTTGAAATGCCAAACTGAGGAGTTTATCATGCATATCAAAACAAAAACAATTTCCCAAAATTAACTCAAATAGATTAATTGCATCCATTTAATTGAGTTTACAACTGTAAAGATACACATGTAAAGAAAACAAAATTATCTTGGTTAAAGTACCTACCATGAATAATAAACAATCTATCAGTACCACGTCTCTTATGAGCACCAATCTCAAGAAAGTGAAAACTCAGCCTTGAGTTCTGCAAACACTTAGACCATGTCTACATTATAAAATTAGGTCAAATTTATAGAAGTCGGATTTTTAGAAAGCCTTTTTATACAGTCGATTGTGTGTGTCCCCACACAAATGCTCTAAGTGCATTTAGTCGGCAGAGTGTGTCCACAGTACCAAGGCTACAGTCGACTTCCGGAGCGTTGCACTATGGGTAGCTATCCCACAGTTCCTGTAGTCTCCGCCACCCATTTGAATTCTGGGTTGAAATCCCAACGCCTGATGGGGCAAAAACATTGCCGCAGGTGGTTCTGGGTACATATGGTCAGGCCACCCCTTCCCTCCCTCCGTGAAAGCAACAGCAGACAATCATTTCGCGCCTTTTTTCCTGGATTACCCGTGCAGACACCATACCACGGCAAGCATGGAGCCCGCTCAGCTCACCGTCACTGTATGTCTCCTGAGTGCTGGCAGACGCAGTACTGCATTGCTACACAGCAGCAGCTCATTGCCTTTTGGCAGCAGACAGTGCATTATGATTGGTAGCCATCAACTCTGTACTCCTGGGTGCTCTTTTAGCTAACCTCGGTGAGGTCGGTCAGGGGCACCTGGGCAAACATGGGAGTGACTCAGCCAGGTCATTTCCCTTTTTAAGTTTAGTCTCATGGAGATTCAGTCCTGCCGGCAGTCCTACTGCACTATCTTCTGGCAAGCACCCAGGAGATGACAATGGCTAGCAGTAGTACTGCACCGTCTGCTGCCAGCCTAAGATGTATAAAGACAGATGATGTGGATCAAAACAAGAAATAGACCAGATTTGTTTTATATTTATTTGTATTCATTTTCTCCCCCCCTCTCCTTCCCTCCATGAAATCAACAGCTTGCTAAACCCAGGGTTTTGAGTTCTATTGTTGAGGGGGCCATTCTGTTTCTCCTTGATACAAAGCCACCCCCTTTGTTGATTTTAATTCCCTGTAAGCCAACCCTGTAAACCCATGTCATCAGTCACCCCTCCCTCTGTAAGAGCAACGGCAGACAATCGTTTTGCGCCTTTTTTCAGCACAGATGCCATCACACAGGGAACATGGAGCCCGCTCAGATCACCGCCACAATTATGAGCACTATAAACACCGCGGGCATTATCCAGTAGGATATGCAATACCATAACCTGCAACAAAAGCGAAACCAGGCGAGGAGGCGACTGCAGCGTGATGAGGAGAGTGATGAGGACATGGACATCGACTTCTCACAAAGTACGGGCCCCTGCAATGTGCATGTCATGGTATCAATTGGGCAGGTTCATGCCATGGAACGCCGATTTTGGGCCCAGGAAACAAGCACAGACTGGTGGGACCGCATAGTGTTGTGGGTCTGGGACAATTCCCAGTAGCCGAGAAACTTTCGCATGCATAAGGGCACTTTCATGGAATTTTGTGACTTGCTTTCCCCTGCCCTGAAGCGCAAGAATACCAAGATGAGAGCAGCCCTCACAGTTCACAAGCAAGTAGTGATAGCCCTGTGGAAGCTTGCAACACCAGACAGCTACTGGTCAGTCGGAAATCAATTTGGAGTGGGCAAATCTACTGTGGGGGCTGCTGTGATCCAAGTAGCCAACGCAATCACTGAGCTGCTAAAATCAAGGGTAGTGACTCTGGGAAATGTGCAGGTCATAGCGGCTAGCTTTGCTGCAATGGAATTCCCTAACTGTGGTGGGGCGACAGACGGAACCCATATCCCTATCTTGGCACCGGAGCACCAAGGCAGTCAGTACATAAACCGAAAGGGGTACTTTTCAATGGTGCTGCGAGCACTGGTGGATCACAAGGGACGTTTCACAGACATCAAAGTGGGACGGCCGGGAAAGATACATGACGCTCGCATCTTCAGGAACTCTGGTCTCTTTGAACACCTGCAGGAAGGGATTTACTTCCTAGACCAGAAAATAACCGTTGGGGATGTTGAAATGCCTATAGTTATCCTTGGGGTCCCAGCCTACCCCTTAATGCCATGGCTCATAAAGCCATACACAGGCAGCCTGGACAGTAGTCAGGAGCTGTTCAACTGTAGGCTAAGCAAGTGCAGAATGGCGGTAGAATGTGCATTTGGGTGTTTAAAAGCCCGCTGGCGCAGTTTACTGAGTCGTTTAGACCTCAGTGAAACCAATATTCCGATTGTTATTACTGCTTGCTGTGTGCTCCACAATATCTGTGAGAGTAAAGAGGAGACGTTTATGGCGGGGTGGGACATTGAGGCAAATCGTCTGGCCACTGATTACAAATGCAGCCAGACACCAGGGCATTTAGAAGAGCACAGGAGGGTGCGGTGCGCATCAGAGAAGCTTTGAAAACCAGTTTCATGACTGGCCCGGCTACGGTGTGAAAGTTCCGTTGGTTTCTCCTTGATGAAACCCCGCCAGCCCCGGGTTCACTCTACTTTCCTGTAAGCTAAGTACCCTGCCCTCCCCCCTTCGATCACCACTTGCAGAAGCAATAAACCATTGTTGCTTCACATTCATGCATTCTTTATTTATTCATCACACAAACAGGGGGATAACTGCCAAGGTAGCCCGGGAGGGGTGGTGGAGGAGAGAAGCACCGGGTGGGGTGGTGGAGGAGGGAAGGACAAGGGCACACAGCACTTCAAAAGTTTAAAACTTAAAACTTATTGAATGCCAGCCTTCTGTTGCTTGGACAATCCTCTGGGGTGGAGTGGCTGGGTGTCCGGAGGGCCCCCCACTGCATTCTTGGGCGTCTGGGTGAGGAGGCTATGCAACTTGGAGTGGAGGGCGGTTGGTTACACAGGGGCTGTAGCAGAGGTCTGTGGTCCTGCTGCCTCTCCTGCAGCTCAACCATACGCTGGAGCATATGAGTTTGATCCTCCAGCAGCCTGAGCATTGATTCCTGCCTTCTGTCAGCAAGCTGACGCAACCTATCATCTTCAGCCCACCACCTCTCCTCGCGTTCATATTGTGCTTTCCTGCACTCGGAGACTGTCTGCCTCCATAAATTTTGCTGTGCTCGGTCAGTGTGGGAGGTCAGCATGAGGTCAGAGAACATTTCATCGCAAGTGCGTTTTTTTCGCCTTCTAATCTTCGCTAGCCTCTGGGAAGGAGAAACATATGCAGCTGGTGGAGGGAAAAAAAAGGGAAAGTGGTAGTTAAAAAGACACATTTTATAGAACTATGGGTACACTCTTCCACGGTAAACCTTGCTGTTAACATTACACAGAACATGTGTTTTAATTACAAGGTCGCATTTTGCCTCTTATTGAGGGTATGCCAGTTTGGTGTGAGAGATCACTCATGCAGGGCCGTGCAACAGAATTCGGCTTGCAGGCAGCCATGGTAAGCCACGCTCTTTTGGCTTCTTTAACCTTCATAACATGTGTGAATGGTTTCAAACAGCAGCGCCCCCATTTCCCATACAAAGTAGCCGTTGGGTTGGCCATTTAAAATAGGTTGGCAATTTAAAAGGAGGGGTTGTGGTTTCCGGGTTAACATGCAGCAGAAACCCAACTAACCCCCCACCACACACGCACATACACACACCCAATTCTCTGGGATGATGGCTTCACCCCTCCCTCCATTGCATGGCTAAAAGCAGGGAAGATTTCTGTTCAGCCACAGGCAAACAGCCCAGCAGGAACTCTGAATGTCCGCTTACTAAAACCACCCTATTTCAACCAGGTGACCATGAATGACATCACTCTCCTGAGGGTAACACAGAGAGATAAAGAACGGATGTTGTTTGAATGCCAGCAAACACCGGGACCATACGTTGCAATGCTTTGCTCTGCAATGATTCCCGACTACGTGCTACTGGCCTGGCGTGGTAAAGTGTCCTGCCATGAAGGACGGAATAAGGCTGCCCTCCCCGGAAACTTTTTGCAAAGGCTTTGGAAGTACATCCAGGAGACCTTTATGGAGATGTTCCCTGGAGGATTTCCGCTCCATTCCCAGACACGTTAACAGACTTTTCCAGTAGCTATACTGGCCACAAATTCAAGGGCAAATCAATCATTAAATATGCTTGCTTTTAAACCATGTATAATATTTACAAAGGTACACTCACCAGAGGCTCCTTCTCCACCTTCAGGGTCCGGGAGCCCACCTTGGGTGGGTTCGGGGGGTAGTGGCTCCAGTCCAGGGTGATAAACAGATCCTGGCTGTTAGGGAAACCAGTTTCTCCGCTTCCTTGCTGTCAGCTATCTACAACCTCCTCATCATCATCTTCCACGTCCCCAAAACCCACTTCCGTGTTGACTCCCACTCCTTGGATGGAGTCAAAGCACAGGGTTGGGGGTAGTGGTGACTGAACCCCCTAGAATGGCATGCAGCTCATCATAGAAGCAGCA